TTTCTTTTTATTTGATTTCATATTAAATGCACATCTTAAGCAGTGCACCTTATTAATTATCCCTTGTTTTAATATTCTTCCTTCTTCCATACCTATGAACTGTTTACAATATATATATTCTATCTAGGGTTTTTGTTTGTACTGGTAGCGCACATCCACGCATTACCTCAATAGTGGTGGAGCACATAACAAAATTCATTCCGCACATGGATGGAAATAATTAGAGGGAACATGGGTGACGACTCCCTCTTGGGTGGATGGGCCAATCCTGGGGCCCATTACTACTCGGTGATTGATTTTCCATTCCAAGTCCATAAAGTTGATTTTCAATATAAATGCTTTGTTCCTTACGTACGACGCATATGTTGATGTCTCAGTCATTCTGAGTCTTGACCAGTTATGAGCTTTTTTGTAGCTGCCTCTGTCACGGAGTCACTGGGTCAATGCTCTGGAACTACTCTGTAGGAAGCCAGTCAGGACTCTGGGGGAGTCTTCTCTCTCTGAACAGACTGTCTCCAGGGAAGAAGTTTACACAGCTTTAACGTTCCTGGGAGCATTCAGCATCCCCTTTCACACCGTGTGTTTCCTGTAGCGAGTCCACCCATACGGGGCTCTTGGGGAAGCCAGAGGGCCCTACACCCCAACTCTGCAGTCGGACATTACTGTCAGCCAGACAGTAAAACAGAAGGTTTATTAGGCGACCGGAATACAGCATAGAACAGAGTCTCGCTTCCCAGGCTAGAGGTGTCTCCTGGTTGCACCCCTCTCCTGGGTCTCACCTGCCCCGAGGGCCTCAGCAGAAATCACACACCCAATTCCCACCACCGAAGTATTGTTGCAGTAGACTGGGAAACTGAGGTACACACAGTGTTCGTATAGGGGAGTAAGACGCATATGCAGCATAACAAGATGAATAAACTCCCACTTTGTCACAGCCTCACGTGATCTCCCCTATGGATAAATACCCTCCAAGAGATATGTTCGATGTGATGGGTTTGTCAGGTCTCAGATGAGAGCTGCTGGCAAAGACCAAGTGACCCTTTGCCACAGGATCTCTGTGTCACCGTCTAACCCCCGTAGGCCAGGGAGAGGACAACTTTCTGCCAATGGCCTTCAGGACGGGTGCTGAGTTCACTGCAGTGCCCCTCGTCCCCTCTCCATTTCCCTTCTCGGTGTGCTGTCTGGGACGCTGCTCTGCTTCCTTCTCCCCAAGCCACCCCGTATCTACTCCATGTGCCAGGCTTCTGGCAGCCCCCAGTGAGAGGCCAACCAGTCCATCAAACTGCTGGGCCTCAAGTTTTCTGGGGTGCACCTCTGTGAGTCCAATTGCCCCCATCCCAGGGGTGCTACAGGGGTATGTTCTTCTAGTGTGTCAGGGCTCCACCCTCTGGCTGAGGCCCCGGGACACTTTCTTCCTCTGTTGGTGTACCAGGTGAAACAACTGTCAGCAAACAACGGTAAATAAAGGAATGAAAGAAAAGAAAGTGGGGGGAGGGGATATGGGCCTCTCTTACTTGTAGGGGCTGTGGGAGCATCTCAGTCCCCTTCAGAGGTTACTGGGTTTCCAGCGCAAGTTTCAGCCTGCTCCCCCTTTGAGCTCCAGGGATTCCCACCCTCCCTCAGTGAAGGCCAGAGCCCCGAATGCTGCCAGCCCTCTCTTTGGGGGTGGAATTGTTCCACAGACTGTTCCCTTCCCAGGGTTGCCCCCTATGAGTAGAGTAGGTCTCTCCTGTTAACTCCTGCTCCAGTCCTGGCATGGTTTGTGGGTGTGGAGGAGCTGGTCCAGTCAAGACTAAAGTAGCAGTTTAACCCCTTCTGTGCCAGCGTGGGGTTTATATAGGCCTACCCAGGCCCAGGGAATGGCACCCTATCAGCCCCATGCCTGATGTGGTGGGGATACTCACTGGCAGCATTGCCTTTGATGGGGTACTGCTCCCAATCTCTCCCCTCCCCCTTTACTGCCACCACAATGCCTCTCACCTTCACTTCCTGAGGGGTGACCACCAGAAGGTGTGTTTCGTTATCCCTTTCCCCACCCCCCCAGGATCCGTTGTGCACCCTCCCTCACTCACCTCTGTCTCGGGAGACAAGGCGGGCCATGGGGTGCGGGTGATGCTCTGCTGGAGATCCATCATCACTGAACGAGTGGCAGCCTTGACCCTCCTCGAAGGTTGCCGGGATGCTGATGTGCACTGGAGGAGAACTGGGGCTTGACTGAGTCCATGGACCATTTGGCCCACACTCTGTCACTGGAAAGCCTGCTCTGCGTGGCTGCCAATTGCTGCTGGAGGCGTTGCGCCCGTAAGTCCCTGTAACGCTGTCTTCAGTGACCCGAGAGCATGAGCACCAGCCTCAGGCAGACTGGTAAGAAGCAGGGCACAAACCCCAAATTGATTGTGAGGTCGATATGTAGATTTCACCAGCCAAGTATCCAGTGTAAAGGCTTCAGGCACTGTAACAGCATTAACATGGAATCACAGACAGTCCCCTTGGGTCATCCCGTAGATCTCACCATGTAGGTGAGCTCACCTTTGTGACGGATGGTCCCTTACAACAGGGGTTCTCAAGTTTTTTCTTTCTCAGGCCCCCCCAACATGCTATAAAAACTCTATGGCCCTCGTGGGCCACAATAACTGGTTTTCTGCATGCAAAAGCCAGGGCTGGCATTTGGGGGTAGCAAGCAGGGCAACTGCCTGGGGCCCCATGTCACAGGGCCCCCCCAAAAAGCAACATTGCTTTGGCTTCAGCCCCGTGTGGTGGGACTCAGGGCCCTGAACTTCAGCCCCATGCGCTGCGACTTCAGCTTTCTGCCGTGGGCCTCAGCGAGTCTAATATTGGCCCTGCTTGGCAGCTCCCCGATAACTGCTTGTGGCCCCCTAGGGGTCCCAGGCCCCTGGTTGAGAACCTTACACCATGAATCACAGCAATGTTCAGGTTGCTGCCAGTCCCAAAGGACCAGTCACTTCCTTAGGTCAATTGAATCTTAGATCTCCCAACAAAGACAACACTTATAGCCAGTCCTGTAATAACCTGTATTTAGATTTATTTAAAAGAAAATGAGAGTTGTTTACAAAGTTAAAGCAGGTTAAAGCAGATGAGTTAGTCTTAAATTTCAAAAGGTAATAGAAGCTTCTCTAATAAGCAAGCTCTACATATTCTTTAGGACTAACCCAGGCTAAGGAGCTGGGGATCTCTTGCTTATGCCTAGAAACTGCCCCCCAGAATCCAAGCAGCATAGAGATCATCAGTTCCTTCTGTAGGCGTTTTTTATCCCCTTCCTGCCATGTGCGCTGAGCTACAAGCTCAGCTAATGGGACATCAAGAGCACAACAACACTCTTTTGTCTTCTTTAACATCCCATAATAGTCTATCTGGTGTTGATGGACCTTTCCTGCCAGGCGGGGTGTAATTCATTCTATTGCCAATCAGGACTTTACCTAGGTAAAGTCTCTCTCCTGTCCGGTGATTTACAAAGCCACAGAGGCTCACAATGCAACTAGTCAGATATTAACCGAGGCAGCAACTCAATAAAGCATTCAATAAAATCTAAACACATTCTTATAATTCTAATACCTGTTTTAACAATTAGTTCCAGATTTGCCTGTTACTTTGGGGTACGCTCATTTATTCGGCTTACTCTTCTGGGAGGGGGGTTCTATAATTCTATCAATGTACTGCTTGTGTCACGTGTGTTTTCAGATGGAGCTCTACTCCTCCCTCAGGTAAGTCCCCTCCCAATGGAGCTATCCTGCAGGACCTAGGTTCCCCAGGGCTGGGTCGTATGCACGCACACACACACACACACATACATAAATGGAGCAAGTCTGAGCGGACCAGGTCAATCAGCACTTTCAAGCTGACCCCCTTATATGTCCCTGGACTCAATGGGCTGGGTCAAGAAGTACTTTCAAGCTGCCACCCTTATGTGTCACTGATTCAGCACGTCCCTGTACCCACTCTCGCTTCACAATTGTACTGGTCGTAACCCACTGGATGAGCAAACCCCACAGTATTTTGGGCGCTGCAGGGATCTTTAGCTTAGGTAAGAGAAGCGTTGCTGCAGAGTAAATGGGGAAGCTAAAAACACAAAAGAGTAAAGCTCAGAGAGAGAGAGAGAGAAGCAACCAGCTTAACCATAAAAGTTATTTATTGAATAATCGTGATAACTACACAAGGATGGCTAAACAAACGTAGCATACATTGTTAAAGGTTAATACTTAAGGTAGAAAGGAAAACAAAGAGAAAGAAAGAAAAGGATCTCACCGCTCCCTGAAGCTCAAACTGATCGGGGTTCCCAGGTGATGGTGGTAGCTCGGGGTCCTGAGTGCGAAAGACAGGCAGAGCCCCCAGCACGATCAGTCAGGAGATGGAGTCCCAGTGGAACTGATGCAGAGTCAGGGTCCATGCATCAGAACACTGACAGGAGGGTGAGTAGGGATTTTTGTAGAGAAAATACAATGGTTAAAGGGAGAACACTAGATTTGTTTGTAGGTA